ACAGTCAATTCCATTAGCGGTCGATCCAGTTTTGAATCCGATTCTAATATCCCGACTGTCGATGATTCGGCAATGCAGTCGGTCGACCCTCGTAATACGTCAGGACGACAAACGATCCGTTTCGAGGAACTGCTTTGCAATCGGGGAACGTCCAAAGAACATTCGGAGAAGTTAAGAGATTACTTTTGCCACGGAAAAAATCGAATTCCTTTTCCCAAAATGATCGCTGTGTACGATTGTGTGAAATTTTTCGACAAAATTAAAAAATTTCAAATCGTTCTGGAAAAATTATTTTCGCTTGCGGGGGCCAATTACAATAATTTTTGGTGAATAGACCTACCCTCGAAATCCTACCCACTTTCTAGAAAAAAATTCGAGAAGGCGTGAAACTTTTCGACAATATTAAAAAATTTCAAATCGTTCTAGAAAAATTATTTTTGGTTGCGGGGGTCAATTACAATAATTTTCGATGAATAGACCTACCCTCGAAATCCTACCCACTTTCTAGAAAAAAATTCGAGAAGGCGTGAAACTTTTCGACAAAATTAAAAAATTTCAAATCGTTCTAGAAAAATTATTTTTGGTTGCGGGGGTCAATTACAATAATTTTCGATGAATAGACCTACCCTCGAAATCCTACCCACTTTCTAGAAAAAAATTCAGTACGCGCGGAACTTAAAACGTTAATAATTTTTTAAGGAAGCCTCCATTAACAAATTAGTGTTCTTGATTTTCGTCTTATTTTCGCCTCTAGAGTATCCCATTAAAATTTTTCCCAGAGGTGGTCGAACATCCTATATATTTTTCCTACAAGAAAAATAAATGACTGCTACAGCCTCACCATAAAAATGTAAGAGTATTGCATATTGTAAACACTCTACTGTGATGTTAATTATTATATGTATAGTATAATATGGCATTATTAGGAGTAAGGAAGACAAATAAGTAGTCTGAAGTATTAATTCATCTAACATAGAGTTTGATACTGTTTGAATAAATGTTAAACCGGCTAAAACGAAATACCAATGTCCAATTTAGTATCAAAACGGTGCGTTGGAAAGTATTTATTTCTCTATTATAAATTCGTAAATATATTTTATACGTTTATTGTAGCTTGGATGTATACGTAGCCCCTGAAACTTCTGTCTGAGCGTCCACTTTGGCTGTTCGTGATCCGCTGTCGTTTCATTCGCGGCTTTCCGCCATTCGATGTCTCGAGAAAAAAATCTACGAGGAAAGTCGCTGGCTCGCGACAGTGTCTTCCTTCTGGCGAACATTCGACTTCTCGAGTTTCGGGGAAATTGACTGGGGAGAGGCAGGAGAAGTCGAGGGTAGAAGGTCTACGTCGCAGCGGGATTTCTGTTTGATCTTCGAGGCACACGCAGTGTCGTCTCTAAACGTATACGCGTACACACATAGGGGAACGTTTCACCGGTGGGGGCGTACGCGAGGGACGATGGAAAACAAGTTTATGGCTCGGAATGGGAATTGGTGTCTCGTAAAGCTGGCTTAGTACAGAGGGTTTTTTGTATGCAATAGCTCGTTAATGTGTTTAGACCCATCGTGGGCGAGGGTGAATCTCTGCTGTGCGTAGATTTTCCTGTACCAATCGCGACGATATCGAAACACATCGTGTATTTATATCGTGACTGATAAAACGTTCATGGTTATCGCCGACACAATTCTTGTTGAGACAGTTTTTTATTTCCTATTACGTGATTATTATGTGTGAGTGTATTCGGACTATTTTCAATTCTAAACCTAAACCTACCACGATCGATTAAACAACAGTTATCGAACTTTAAAATTTCCTACGTACAACGATCGCGAGTTTTCTTACGATATATAATCGGGCCCATAAAATCAATCTTCCGTGACATAATGTCTCGCGAGAAACCATGCAGTATAAAACGAAGACCGATAGTCGGAGTCAGAAATGGTAAAGGTTCGGTAGGCACTCAATATGCATATAAGCACGAAGGCGCAGCTTCGATATTTCCTTTCGCTTTCTCGCGTTGAAACATCTAGATCCGCACGAAACGTCGGCAGTTCGGAAGATATTCGTCTAGTACGTATTTCTATAACAGTCTGCTGGAAGAACGGTCGGAGAAACGTTGAAAATGCAGTGTTTCGGCGATCGAGCACAGAGAATCGAGAAAAAGTGACGAGAACCACGGATGTTTCCGTTTAAAGTAACCGAGGAATTCGATAACCGTCGATGGTGGCAATCTTTCGTCGCGTTTAGTGAATACCATAGTTTAACAGCTTCTTTCTGAGCTTATTCTAGCGCAAGAAATAGATATTATGATCTATAGTCTTGTGTCATCGTTTTGGGAACAGCTGTATTTGCTTACAATACTATGATGATCTTTGGAAAGCAAACAACTTCGTACGTACGCGTTTGATATTGTCGCCATCTGTTTGAAAGGGGCGGTAGTAAAACGATTCGATGCATAGTTGTAATTGTTATTTTAGTTCCAATGCAGAACTATTCTAGAAATGTATTAATATTAGAATTGATATATTAAACTTCTTTTTCTTCCTTTATGAAGATAAACAAACTTGTTGAAAACGGTTGAGTTTGTTGCTGTTACTTTGCAGTATATTACACTGTTTTTAATTAAACTTACGAACGCTTTAAATCCAACAATTTCTGAGATCATTTAATTTTGGTTAAGGTTAAAAACATGTTTGTTTTAACAGTTTTTCAAATTTGATTACAATGACATGTATTTCGTCTCTTTTCTATAAATAAATAAATTAATAAAATATACGGAGTGTTTGGCCATCCCTGGGAAAAATTTTAATGGGGAATTTTGCATGCCAAAATAAGACGAAAATCAAAAATGGGATTCCTTAAAAAATTATTAAAAAAATAAATTAAAAGATTTCAAATCATTCTGAAAAAATTATTTTTAGCTGTGGGGGTTAATTACAACCATTTTTGGTGAATAGACATACCCTCGAAATCCTACGTAGTTTCGAGAAAAAAATTCATTACCGAAAATATAATGTCTGACCATACATTGATATGTTTCCCTGAAATTTCGTGCGTATGTTTAAAACATCTTAACTTCCGAACGGATTGAAGGATTTTAATGTTTAAAAAGGCAAACAACGCGTATTTTAGTGACGAATATGTAGAAATTCTAACAGTAATGAAAAAGTTGTTCCTTGACCCCGTGAAGTGAGAAAAACCCCATTAAAATGGTCCAATTTTCAAACAGCCATAACTCCTGTAATAGTGAATATATTTCAATGAAACTTTTATCTGATATAGGGCTCATAGGTACCTACAAAAAAGTATTAGACAACTTTTCTATAGGGCGTCAAATAATATTACTAAAAATAAAAAATGAATTTTTAAGGAAAATCGACTGGGGTACCTAAATTTTTCGGCGAAATTGAAAAGTCTCAAATCACCCTGGAAAAATTATTTTCGGTTGCAGGGATTAATTACAATCATTTCTGGTGAATAGACATACCCTCGAAATTCTACGCACTTTCGAGAAAAAAATTCGAGAATGCGTGAAATTTTTCGACAAATTAAAAAATTTCAAATCGTTCTGGAAAAATTATTTTCAATTGCGGGGGTAAATAACAATCATTTTTGGTGAATACACATACCCCCGAAGTCCTACGCACTTTCGAGAAAAAAATTCTTTACCGAAAATCTACTGTGTGGCCAGAAATGTTTACCCGAAATTGGACGATTTTAATAATTCAAAATTCGAACAATGAAAAAATTTTTCCATACCGCATAAAATTTCTCTAGTATTGTACATACAATTTCTTTGACAACAGTGAGGGGGTTGAGTCTAATAATTCGCGACGATAGATTTCACGAATTCATCCACCTCGAATTCTCTCCCTCGGAAGAGAGAAAAGATCCTCTTTTCCACGGTCGAACGCGATGCATCGTCGGAAGGCGACTTTCACCGCGGTATCACGAAAGACGATAATAAACGTTGCCTGAAGAGGGAAGAGAAAAAAAGAGAAAGTGACCGAGCACGCTCGACGGGAAGTTCTAATTTTCCATTCTCGTTCGTTCCACTCCGCCTCAACTGAACTCGGTTGGGTGTGTAAAGCTTGTTTTAAAATGCGCAACAGACACGGAACGGTCGCGTACGCGTAAAACGGTTAATGAATATGGACAATTTAAAGGCAACGGCCTCGTTATTTACGCGCCGGAATATGAAATTCGTCCCCGTTCAAAGAGAATGAGTATGTATTCGGGAGGGCTTTTCAGAAATAGGTGAACGATTAACTTTGAGCGCAAACCGCAGGAAATTGCTACCGTTAGGAAAACGATCGTTCAAATTAGCGAACGAAGTATACCGGACCCGGGGATTGAATGTAATTTATCTGAAGCGTGTTCGGAGAAGCTTTGCAATTAGGAGGTCGTCGAACACCGCCCACGAGCAATAATTAAAGAAAATTGGATAATTCTTTCCAAATGGTTCGAAGGAGCGTTAATTTTATGATACCGTCCTTAGTTTTTAATGCATATTAATCGGTACAAGGATTGTTGCAAATTCGTTACAAAGTTAGGGTAGCTACACGGTAATTTAAGCCCTGTTTCTTTTGTCGCATCGAATAGAAAATTATGAAAACGAAGGTTTACACGTTTGTGAATTTTTCTAGAATTTTTGGTCACAAAACGAAATTACAAACAATTCAAAAATATTACCGAGTGATCACGTTTATATTTTTACAGTTTTTGAGTTTTGCTATGATTATTAATGTGTTATTTTTTCAAATTTTTTGAAGCGATGGAACGTAGTTAAAAAAATAAACGATATTTCCTATCCTTCCATATAGAAGGAGTAGTATATTCACATTGTAGATATACTTTTGTTCATTGTATGGATATTGTATACAATTCGGTTTTAACTATTTTTATTAAGATATCTTCGTCCACTTTGGAAAAGCGTAAAAAATTACAATTTTCGAGAATCTTGGGGAATTGAATAGAGGTAAAATGAATTGGTGGTACTCACCAGTGACCTTGATGTGGTAGGGCAACTGTGCTCGCCACGTGTCCTGCATTTTTCGATCAGGTGCGACGCATCGATACTCCCCAGCTTCCTGATAGACGACCCGACTCAGCGCCAGTGGTCCAGGCCCACCCACTGGATCCATTCCAGAACCGTGTCCCCAACAACCACCGTCGCACTCCAATGTCACCGCGCCACCGATCTGGACCTCCATTTTCCGGGAATCAGTATTTTCACCGTTCAAGGCTTCCGCTTCCGATTCCATGTCTGGATCGTCTAAAATTGATTTAAATAAAGCGAGGGCCAACACAAAAGCCAGACGATTTTCCTTTTGCTTTAACTCTTCGGTTCCTACGGGGATCCCACGTATCTCTTTTATTTGACATGTGCAAAAATTTAAAGCTCACAGAACCCCATTCGCTTTGGTAAACAAGTATTTTTTTTATTAAAACAATTGCAATTGTTGTTAGGCAGGGATCAAATGTATCGTGTATTCTACGAATTTGTGTGGAAAATATCATTAAGAAAAAAGTTGATTCTATTATTATGCAAATATTTAACATACTCTTCTTCGAGGGTAGATTTTATCTCCCGTATAACCATTTCCTCTAAGTAGTTGAAAGTGTTCAAAAGTAGAGAGTTCAGGTTTTAAAATGAGTTTCGTTTCATTTTATTTGGATGAATTTTAGCAAAGTTCAATTTTTATCAGCAAAATTAATTTGCTTTTTATTCTACATTCGGGGGGAAATTTATTATACTATGATTTTTCTTGTTATTTTATAAGCGAAGATAGTTTAAGTAGTAAGGATCGGTATGTGGTCAGACGTCGTTCGAGTAGTAAGGATCAGGAAACAGTCAGACTTAGTTTAAGTAGTAAGGATCGGTAATGGACCAGGCGTTGTTTAAGTAGTAAGGGTCCGTAAGTGGTCAAACGTAACACGTGGTGTATTTTATTTCGTTTTCTAATTATTTTAGTACTATTCAATATAAAATTAATTGCATTTAATTGCAAAGGTATAAGAAAATTCAAATAATCGTTATAACTTCAGACTACAGACTTTACTTGTGGAAAGCTTGTACCTTGTAGTTGCAAACCTTTAATGACCAGACACAGACACTAGACTGAGGTTTATTTGACAATACAGGCGATAAGTAATAAAGACAGACGCCTAGACGGGCATGTATACTCTTCATTTAGTGGTCTATTAAATTTAGTACTATGAGCTATTACTCAGTCAGACAATGGTGTCAGCACGTCTGAGAAGCCTTGACCAATACTACTTGCATTCATTTCCAGAAATATGGTTTTTCACTGAATTATTTCTAACAAGAACTCCTTAAGGAAACTCCTACAATTACTACATCCTTAAAAATCTCATTTTATAGAAATCATTTATATGTTAATCTAAACAAATTGGTCTTTTCAACAATTTAAAATCTACTTTGATATTAATATAATTACATTTTTGGTCCCGTTTTCCTGAAACCTAGCGTATTTTTTACATTAAATCGAGGGCAAACACGATATCATAACTATCATAGTACGCAATCAAATATGAGTATCTCTGAATGCAACCAGCAAAATGGATTTTCCAATAAAGTTTACTCATCGAGTTGAGTCCTTCGGTCTTCCACAAGACAAATACCAAATTTCATCCCTTAGATTCCGGCCCCAGAAAGAATTACAGATTTCAATTCCACGAGTAGCCTGGGTACTTTTACGCCCACGTACGTCCTTATCTAAGGTATCCTAAACCGATACTTGAGTCGGACGACGTTGTCATCGATATCAAGGAAGCATCCCCCTTGCATCAGGAATCAGACGCACGTACCGGGGATAAAGTTAAGGGTAGAAGCGGCGCTCCCACGTGTGGGGTTTAGCAAAATCTTTTCCACGGACGACGACGACGAGGACGTCGAGGATCCCGCAAGCGTCCGTCGTCCTCGACGCTACCGGCGCCATCCCTTTTCCAATTCTACCTACGGAATTATACGCCCGCGATCGTTTGCTCTCGAGCTAACGCTGTGTCCACAATTACGAAGGGAAAGGGTGTCGACGGGGGTATCTCTTCGACGGAGAATTAGAGTCAGTCGACCGGAGGAAGGTGGGAATCGGTCCGTGGACGAGAAAGAAAGACGGAAGGAAAGTGGAAGAAAGGGGAAAAGAGGTTGGAGACGAGGGGAAGGGGGGTGGTCGGAGAAAGAGCAGTCCTTTGAGTTAGCAAGCTGATCCTCCGGCTCATCCTATAACAAAACAAAGGGATCAAAGTGGTGGATGCGACGATAGGAGGCTTTTACACCCTCCCTCGGCCGCCCCGTCACACCCCCAGGCCCACGGCTCGTCCAACCACCCCACTATACCTCGTTTGTCTTGTAGTTTGTTCGGAATTTTAACAGCAAACACAGTCATGACGCTATAACAAACACACCCCAGGTTAGGGACGAGGAGGATAGGGGGTAGTAGTTCCACTTTTTCTTCGTTACCCAGCCCGTATACAGCCCTTCCCTTTTTTAATGGCGATTCTCGTTACCAACAAATTTGATCTATCGCCCGGGAAATCCCGGACGACACGAGCTTTGATCCTCGATGCGGGAGACTGTCGCGTTTCGTCGTATCGATGGGATCCATGCATCGTGAACCTACCTGCCTCTGACGTCTCGGCGGGCTCGGTAAAAGGTACGCGAACCAAAGTTTGCACAATATTTGCACGGTAGTTCGCGTTTCCGAATTTTTGGCCCCAGCTGGGATGTTCGATCGGTTTAGAAATTGTTCGAGTCGCGAGCAGAATTTTATTTCGAATAATAGACGACGGGAGCACGTGTAATTTGTTTAATCGAATAGTTATTTGCATAGGCTTCTATTTGTTCGACGAGATTTAATTTGGAAATAATTCGTAACTTTTGTCGAACCACTTCGAAAATTTGTTCATTTTTCATTTGGTATTTGAAATCTGTTAGCAATGTTGGGTCTGTTTCAAACACATAAAGAGTAATTAAAATTAAAATATACATACGTTTAAATAATCAAGTGATTTCTCATATATTTAAATTTTACATGATTTAAGTTTCTGAAGAATATCCAACGAATATCAATATTTTTGAGAAGAGAACTATCACAGTTGGTGCTCGAGAAAAACAAGAATTTTATCATTAGCTGCAATAAAGACTTGAAAATCATATTGTTTGGAAAAGAAAATTCTGTTTAGTTATATGAATATTGCAAGGATTGTTTTCAACGATTTGTACAAGGTATTTTTCGTATCTCAAAATTTGAAATTTTCTACGGGTTTGAAATTACCTCTCGACGTTGTAAACAGCTTTTGGAACTTTTGCCCCAACAGCACTCTATGATATGTAACTCTTTGACGACTTAGGTTGTGTAAGAGAAACTTCACTCTGTAGACAGAGACAAATAACTTACCATAGCAATCAAGTTTTGCGTGATAGATCTCAAAGCAGTCGTCTTTATGCAATTCTATTTTACTGTCTTCGTATCTTGATTTCTCTGTCCTTTCTGACGCATAATACTCGTTCGCGTGCATTTTGTTCCCTTTTTTTAGGAGCAGGGTGAGTGTATGATTGCAAATACATTAATTTTTTTTGGAAAAGAAATAAAATTTTAATACTTCAGCAGCATGAATAGAATTTCTGCAACCGAAATGCAGGGTTAAAAATTTTGGAATCTCGAAAAAGTTGAAAGTTCGTGAAAAACAAATCGTTACTTCGTTAGAAAAAAACGGGATTAAAGTTCAGATTCTGGAGCTTAACGTTCCGTGGATAAAGGCTCGAAAGAAGACTTTTTAAACTCCGCGCGTGATCCTAAATTCGAGGATCGAAAAAAAAATTCAACAGGATGAGCTTCGAGGAAGGCAAACTTTAATACACATTTTTTTATATCGCTTTAAAAAATAAAGAACATCGAAATTCGTTATTTTTTTGGACGATTACAAAGTGCCTTTTTAATTATGTCAAGCATGCTTCTTCCGCGACTGTTTCCTCCATTTTCGCTATATAAAATTCCTTTTCATATTTCTGCAGAGGATGAACTTTCCTCGAATTCTTTTTACGTTTTCTCTCATAACGATGTCGAAAATTGGAGTTTCGAGACTAAGGAGTTTCTTCCGCGAATAGCTAATATTCGCCAACGTTACTCCATTTCTCGGGTCGCCGAGTAAGTCGCTACCATAGCCTTTAATATCGTAATCGACATCAAACTGCTGAAACTTCACGAGTCTGTCGGAATTCTTGGCGGAGCATTCTTTTTTCTAAACAATTCCTCTAATTTACGTTCAAGAATCTCGTCTTCTAGACTTATACATTTCACGTGGTTTGCAAAAAGAAATACTTTACAAATAAAATTAAAAATCACAACGATAAGTGACAGTAGTTTTTCAAGGAAGAAAAGCTTTCTTGCAACGAAATCGAATCAGCGTTTTCAAGGTATCAATCTTTCAATTATAAAAATTTCTTCGATACCACGAAAAGAAATATTTTGCAAATAAAATTAAAAATCACAACGACAAGTGACATTGCTTTTTCTGTTCCCATCGTACGTAGACGAAAAGCTTCCTTGCAACGAAATCTAATCAGCGTTTCCACGGTATTATTCTTTCCATCAAAAAAATAGTCTCCGATTATCATTAAAAAATTTCCAAGGAAATATCGTCGGGTGAAGCATTTTATCCGATTATTACGCCATCCTCGACCTCTGCCATCGTTGCAGGTATCACGAGAACAGTTTAAAACAATCTCGAAATCGTCGAGACGCCAGAATTGCCGCGGTATACTTTCTGGCGACCCTCGAACTTATATATAAAAAAAAAAAAGAAATCGTAAAATTCAATCTGCGAAGAAACTCCGCGTCGAATCTGGAAACTTCGCGTTTCGACCGAAACGTGTGCCCTTTTGGTGGTCGGGGGCGAAATCGCTGCACCGTTTAAAACCCGACTCGACGTTATCCGTGGATAAGTAATCCGGGCCAGGAGATTCGAACAGGACGTGGTAGCACTGTAATCGATAATTCCTACGGAGGACGGTTGGTTTATAGGTGCTCTCGAGCCATCTAAATTGCGTAGAGATTAGGTGCTCGGAAACCCGTATCCAGGATCGTCCGCCGAGGGGTGCGAATGGAACCGAGTGGCTGAAGTGGGGACTAGGACGGTCGAAGGGGGAGGGGGGTGGTTGAAGAGCAGGGGGATGGTTTCACGAGATGCAAGGGGGACCATAACCTCCCTGGGGCTGTGTTAGAATGGCAAGATGGAAGGGACTGGGGGGGG